TATATAATATAAACTGTATAGTTTATATTTATATATTATATATAAACTATATATGAACTCTCCAGTCAGCGTCATTTTGAGGTCTTGGCCTTTTCGACCACGAGAGGAGGAGAGGAGAAAATGAGGTTTGGTTCGATTCGGTTGGGTGGCCTCTCCAGCCACCCTGGTTGCGATCGGCAGTCAGAGGGTTGGACATCGTCGAGGTTCGGCCGTCGTTGGTCTTGGGGCTTGAAGAGAGGCATCGTCGGTGTGTAGGATGAAGAAGATGAGAGAAAATGAAAGATTTTCATAGGATTACGATTTTCAAAGTAAAAAAAAAGGAAAAGTATGATAAATATTAAAAGTTTTTTGGGTTAATCCGCATTTAATCCCCCAACTTTAGACTCTTATTTACACTTCAATCACCACTTATTTTTTTATTTTGCTTTTATTTTTCATTAGAATTTAGTCTGCAAGTTTTTTTATTTTATTTTAGTCACTTTTACATTTTTATTTTATTTTAATTTTGATATGCTATTTTTGTTTGTTCATAACTTGGTCACTTATTTACATTTAGTTTTATTTTAATTATGATGTGTTGTTTTTGTTTGATTATATTTTGGTCACTTATAAGTCTATTATTTCATTTTATTTCTAATTTTCTATTTTTTATTTCATTTCATTTTAGCCATTGTTTATTTGTGATTTGCTTGCTGTTTTTATATTTTATTATGTTTTGGTCCCTAATATTAAAACAAAAGCAATAAATGTTAATACGATCTTGTGGTGACCCGCCCTAGGGTATGATCCACATTATTTACGGTCAAAGTAAAATTCTAACTTTTAACTGCTAATTTTGCTAACTTATTAACCACTATCTGCTAACTTTTATTATTATATTCGAATCATTTTACGACCTCACAATAACCCACCCTGGGGTATGATTCACGTTGTTCATGGTCCGGGTAACAATTAAAAATTAACCCCCTAACTTTTAATTTTATATTCGACCGTTTAATTACTGTTATTTTAATTTTTGCCCTTTAAATTTTTATTATTTTAATTTCTGCTTAAAATTATTAATTGTTTACATTTTAATCATTTTAATTCCAGCTTTTAATTTTCTGCACTGTCTTAATTTAAGTTTATATTATGATTTCTTTCATTTTAGTCCTTTATTTAAGGTCTTAATTTTAGTTCTATGTTTTAAATTGTTTCAATTTAGTCCTAGTTAGCCTATTTAGATCTTTAGATTAAACCCTTAAGTTTAGAATTTTAGTTTTTTGGTCATAGTTTGGATTAACATATCTTTAAATTTACTCTTTTTGATTTAGTCCCTTAAACCTTTAATTTAGATTTGAATCAATAATTGATTAAAATTAATTAGGATTAAAATTATAGCCTCAATCATAGGCCTAATTTTGCACCTTGAATTAGGAGAATTCTTAATTTGGTCATCACCTTTGCTCGAGGTTCCTCTTTAGTTATTGGAATCACATAATTGATTAAAATTAATTAGGATTGATATTAGAGTCTTCACTTTAGGCATAATTTCACATTTAGTCCTTTAATTTAGGGGAATTTTATCTTGGTCCTCACTTTTGCTCGAGGTTCCATTTTAACTATTCGACTCAGTAACTCATTAAAAATGATTTAAGTTAATGTTAGAGCCTACATTTTTAGGAAATTTCATAATTTGACTCCTTAAGTTAGAGGGAATCCTTAACTAATTCATTTAGTATAATTAGGTTCCATAACCGATTGGTTGACTACATTTTGATTTTTTTTAAATAAGGCAATGCTCATTTATTAGGGGTTAGTAGTGTATCTCTCGCTTTTGCCTGGGGTGACTGTTCTTGATTCTCGAAGTAAATCAACATCCTTTTTCAAAACCCCACATCATGATTTCTAAATTATTAAGGCAATGTCTATTTATTGTGATTGATAATGAAGCTTCCGCTTTTTCTTGGGGGTTGTTGTTATTAGTCTTGGTAAATCACATCCTTTTAAAAAAAATATATGCATACATAGTGGATTTGAAATTAAATAAAATTTTAAACTCAAAATTTCCAATTTTGAAATATAGGGTAATCGTTTAGGTACCAATTTTGGGCGCTATGGGGGTGCTAATCATTCCCCACGCGTAAATGACTCCCAAACCTAATTTCTGATCTCGCAAACTAAAACTTGGTATTTTTAGTAAAATAAAATGTTTTTATTAAAATTACCTTTTTTTAGGTGTTCCAATCTCACCTTAAAAATGATTGGTGGTGACTCCCATCATTCCATAAAATATTTATTTCCAAAAAAGTCATATCGATCTTCCCACCAAAAATTGGTTATGACATAATCTTAATTATTTTAATTTGTTTATTTTATTTTCACAATTCTAAGTATTTTATTTGTCTTTTCAGAATTTTGATGTTAATTTAGTTGCTTCAAAGACTAGAAAATCATATGTTGATTCCTACATTAATTTGCCTATTGTTCCCCATATTGAAGGTGCTGAGTTTGATATTTTGGGTATTAGAAATCACAAAATGCTTATTATCCGGTACTCTCACGCATGTCGAGAGATATATTGGCCATTCCAATTACTTCAGTGTTGCTTCTGAATCTTCCTTTAGCATGGGGTTGTATTTTGAACAAGTTGAGAGTCAAACTTTTACCAAAAAATGTTGAGATTTTTCTAACAACTCGAAATATGTTGTATGGTTTTGAACCAGAAAAATGAGATGAAGAGTATCTTATTGTAGCTACTGATTCTTCCCTTTAAAGGTAAATATTTGATTTGCTTTACTTTCTTACGTTTATTTCATTTAATTTGCTTTTGTAGGGTGCTACTGCTTTTACATTTACAACAAACACATTTGAATGAATTTATGAATAATTCTTCCTTGATTATTCCCTTTTATGGTAATTTCTTTATTGTGTTTATTTCATAATTTTCACTAATACTTGAAATGATTTATTGTAGATGCCACTGCTTTTACATTTACTGCTTTTTCATTAATTTTCATAAATTTCAGTAAGCATGCTACTGCTTTTACATTTAATGCTTTTTGATTAATTTTCATAAATTTCAGCAAGCATATAAATGAATCCTTTACCACTGTTTTAACTTCTGTAGGTTTGGTAAAGTCGGAAATGTTTGACATTATTGACCATCGTGTTCCCCTTGGCTTTACCATTGATTGGATTGGTATGAATGCTAACTGGACTTGGTCTAAATGCTTATTGGAATTCATCTGAATACTGATTAGAAATCGTTTGAATGCTGATTAGTTTTCATCTAAATGATGAATTGTTGCTTGTTGGCTAACTGTTGCCTTGTTAATTGTTGTTATTGGTATGATAAAATTGAACTGTTGTAAATTCTTATCTAATTAGTTACCCATGATTAAATTATGTTGGTGTTATTTTAGCTTTTAAAGCTAAAAAGATGCCCACAATTTAATCATGTTGGCATCATTTAGATATTTTGAGATAAACAAAAGCTCGATGAAAAAAATTTATGGTAGCAAAGTCGGGTTTTCGACCTTGTAAAACTTTTGCTATAAGATCTGAAAGCTTAAATTTCAACGTAAATTTATTTACTTCATTTAATTGTAATTGTGGTGTATTGAGTTGTAATAAATTTAATTTGTACATTTATACATTTGGTTAGTTTCAATATTTATAAAGTTATTAGATATTTAATCTCATATTCAAATATTATCAATAGCTAGAATCATGTTTAATATATAAATTAAAAATTTAAGATAAATTATATTTAAGTTATTAATTATTACATAAAAATGATTAATCATTTAATAAAATTAATTTAATAGCCATGATTATTTTTTTTAATATTATGATCATAATAAATATATAAAGTTAATTTAGTAATTTAAAGTAAATCTAGTAATATAATGATGGTAATTACTAATTTATTTTAAATTTATTATTAATACCAACTCATTAATTTAATAAATTTTTTGAATATATTTATAGGCAACAATTTATAAGTATAAAAAGTAAATACATTAATTCAATTATCATTGTTAATCATGCATTATAAATTGTGAAGAAGTATTATGTCACATTGTAATATTAGAAAATTATAATTTTCTAACTTTATCAATTATAACTTACAAGTTAGGTAAATATCAAGTTAAGTAAATATCAGTGCAATTTAATAACAAGTGAGATCATTTACAAACTGAGTCAGCTACAGATCATGTTTATAACAAGTCAGGTTGATAATAGATCAGGTCATATCTGTTATTTGTCGTGTTATTCTTAGGTTCGAGTTCATATCAGGTCAGATACAGGTCGGGTTCATTTGTCACATTATCGGGACAAATTTGGGTTCAAGTCGTTCTTAGGTCGGGTGCAGACCGTAAATTTTCGGGTCCAACTCGGGTTTAGGTTAACAACAGTTTGGACTCGAATCGGTTTCGGATCATCACCATCTCGGGTCACAAACAGTTTTAACTCAAGTCGATTTTAGTTAGTTTTGTAATTCGGGTCAATTTTAACTCAAGTCGATTTTAGTTACTAACTATATATTTAATGTAATATTAAATATATTATTATTTTTAAATAAAATTAACGGTTTCTATTTACATTAACAATTAACCATTTTTCATTGTTCAATTACAATAAATTAATCTCCATTGTATCTTATTAGTCTAAAACCATAGGTTGATAAAAATATTTTTTTCATCTCGTTGGGAGACCAAAAAGAAATATTTTATTCAACTTGCCATGAATGAATAGATCTAATCCACTGTAACCTCTAAAAATTTCTTTCTAAAAACAAAATAATTATTAGAGATAGTTAAATGCAGTAGACGAAATCAAACAAAAATATCACGACCCACTCATTTATGTCACGCTGACAGAATAATGAAGTTCAGATGCTTTTAACTTTTTTCATTTACATCTGTTCTTTCATCACAAAGAAATCATTACATATCATTAACAAAGAAAAAACAATTGATAAATTAATTAAATTAATAATTACATATCAAGCATTCCATTGATTGATTATGTCATTCTATGATATTCGGATTTGGGGTCCCATGTTCATTTTCATGGGTGTGCATTGGTGACCATGGGATCAAGCTCATTGGTGGGAAGCAACAATTACAGTCATCTCGGCATGGTTGAGGCCATTCCCAGTTGCTTCCAAACATCTCCTGTTTTTTCCGATTGTGACTGTAGTCGCCACTGCTAGACGGTGCTGCAGCTTCCACCAGCGGACCCCAGCACTCGACCCCGTTGAATTCCGGCACGTTCGAGTGAAAATAAACCCAAACCAATGACTCCTGTAATTCTGGGTAGTTTTTCAGCAGATTCCCATCTCCATGGACAAACGCCTTCAGTACCTGTTTCAATAATACCAAGACGTTAAAATTTTCTTTCCAGGCCAGGAAACAAAATGATCAATTTATATTATTACCACAGGGAGTTCTTTGGAGAAGATGAAATATCGAAGTCTAGCACACAAGTCTAACAGGAAATGGCCACCACTTATGTGACAGTGGACGTGCAAAGACATCTTTCCCTTCACTTTTTTCCATTCAGCCACCACTTCGTCTCTGTATATTTTGTTTGCCCATCCCTGCAACTGCAACCAAATCAAACCCTAATTCAGCCCGTTCATGTACAAGTGTTTCAGGCCCGTCCATGTATAAGTATAACATGTTACTCGTCTTAGGATCCAAAATTGAGGAAACCCCAATTCACACCCGTTCATGTACAAATATATTCAGGTCCGTCCATGTATAAGTATAGTATGTGACGTCTTAAGACCCAAAATTTGAGGAATCCACATATAAATACAATACAATTCAGGGCTCCAGTTTAAAAAAAACACATGACCTACCCATCATTTGGGATAGGCATGTCCCAATTCATATCGAACTTTATTCACCCATAGTTTTATTTTCTTTGATAAAATCATTGGTTAGTTGACTACAAATCCCCTGTTTCCCATGTTTTAGAAGAAAAAAAGTTATGAAATCAAAGGATTTACCTGAGAGTTGTTTATGGTTTGGGAGATGGCTAAAGTGAGTTTAGAGGTTATATCACTATGTGTAAGGGTGTAAGCCCTTGGTAGCTTCCCTGGGTGCTTCTTTTCATCCACTCCCAAGAACAATACCTTCAACTTTGATGCCTCAAATATAGCTGGACCAAACAACCTTGCTACCTGATCCCATCAAATCCATAAAAAAATTTCAATATGATCAAACTAAACTCAACCAAAATAATACTAATAACAGTAACGAAAGGGGAAAAAGAAAAGATTACAGGGACAACAGCTTGGTTCATCTTCTTGGTTTTTCTTCTGGAAACGAGAAGGGATCCATTGTGCTCAAACACCGACAGTCTTGTGTTTGCAGAGAAAACAGGAGCAAAAGTTAAAGTTACCATTTTTTATACACTCAAAACTCCAACTTTGATGAAGAGAAGCACGTAAATAAAGAAAGGAATTGGGAGAATCTTGGAGGAGGAGGATGCTATATTGCTTTAAGGCTATGTTGCTTTTGCTTTGACTCGTTAGTGGCTTAGCTTAAAGACTCGGCCTTTGCCTTTGCTTGTTTGATTAGCCAAAGTTGAGGACTAGGAAAACGATAGGCGAGCAGTAAAACTGGGATTGCGTTTAGGGTTTGAATGGAATGCGTAGCGGCAAATCAGAGAAGAAGAGAGAAAGGAAACAAAATGAAAGAGGTTGCTTGAAGATTCAAGGTATTGTTACATCGACACATGTGTTAGGCATGTTGTTAACACGTTGAGCTTCTTGGACTCTCATCATGTTTTTTTACATCCATACCCTTTTGGTGGCAACTTTTTATTGACTTTCACCCTTGAAACTCTTTTATTCACGAATGCACCATTACAAGATGAACACGATGGACTTTGTCAATTTTATGATTGTTTTACAGGATAGAGTATATAAATGTTTCCGACTATTAATTCTTTTAAATTTATTTTTTTTTTCGGTTAAAAGAACGACTAACATTTGAGTTGGACGTTAACATATTTATGAGATATGATAAAATCTGATTTTAGATTCGTTTGAGTTATATTTTATGGATCGAATCTCTATTAATCTTATGTTATCGGATTAGTACTTGAAATATTATATTGTCATTTCAGTGCTTGAAAGCAATATCGGTACGTGTAAACATCATTAAAATTAATTTTATCATATCTCGGTCAGCAAATTAATATCCAGTTCAGACGTCCATCAACTTTTTAACTAAAAAAGTTGAGTTTGGAACATAGTTAGATGATTATTTTATAATTTTTAATAGTATGAGAACTCAACAAAATGTCAATACCTTATAATTAATGTATCATTTATTTTCTTTATCATATTTTATAAGAATATATGGATTTATATATTTACGTAAACTACTAGTAATGTGCAAGTATATTGAAGGGTCGCTGCTATCTTTTACTGACAAATTGACAATACGAGCATACTCGATTGATTTCTTTCATTAACTCGACGTGAATTCCATCCCATATACTTGGTATATACGAGCATACATGCAGGGTTGCAATTAGACAACGTTTTCAAGTATAATTGGTTCAAGTTTCCTTTCGTTGTTTGATATGGTAACGGACTTTAACTTTCATAAAAACGTCAGCTTTATTTGGGGTTGATTTTTACATAATTTGTTAGAGTAATTATTTCATGGTGTGTTTTGTGTAATAGTCACTTAACACAGTAAAATAAACATATGTTAATAAAGATATGCGGATCATTGTTGAGGGAGAAATCAATATATACATGGGTGTTCAAAAGTATTCGAATCGAATTATTTGATTCGTTAATTCGTCAACGTTGTTAAAAATTTGATAACTTTCCAAAAGAGTCATTCTTTTAAGTCTTTTTACCTAGGTTTATGCTTGTATTTTAGCATTTTAGGATCATTTTTATAGGGTTTTTGTTAATTTTGCCTTGCATGCATGTTATGAGTAAGTTGGCAAAGTTTGAGTTAAAACTGGTGCATTTTGCTGTTACATTATTGTTACTTTGATGTTGCGTTTTCTTTGATGTTTTCAGATATTGTTCTGAGCAGCAAGGAAGCAAGATTAAGGTGCAACCAAGCATTACTACAACAATCGATGACTTGGTATATAGTGCAATAGCATTTTTCAGAATCAGACAACTGTCTATTCTGTTGTAAAAGGCTGAAATTTAAGGAAAAATAGGAATTTTTGTAACATTTCAAAAATTGGGTTAGTGACCAAAGTGTAAGATTTTAAAATTTCGTGATCAATTTTGATAAATTAAAAAGTCCAGGGATTTAATTGAAAATTATTGGTGTAGGATTAATTAGCAAAGATTGAAAGATGAAAGGGCATAATGGTCTTTGGGCAAGTAAATGAATTAAAAATTCATTATGGAGGTATTATAAACACGTGGAAAAGAGAGGAAATAGTTAATTGAGAAGTCTAGAATTCTCTCTTTCTTCATCCTTTTGTTCCTCCTCTCCACCGTGACTGCTTGGCTAAGGTGAGAAACCTTTAACTCAGTCATTTTTTGTAATTTTTTGATTGGTTTTGAATCTTGAGGTGTTAGGGAAGCTTGAGAAAGCTTAAAGAGAAATAGAAACTAAAATATGAATAAATTATGGGTGATTAAGTAAAGAGGGTTTTTGAGAGAATTTATGAGAAATTATGAGTAAATGGATTTTGAAGATAAATTTGACTTGTCATCAGTTAGAATAAGAAATTTAAGGTGTCGGAAAATAATTTGGGACATGTTGATGAATTGGTATGATTTTTGGTTTCAAGCGATTATGTGGAATCTTGGGTGTTTAAGTGTGTTTAAGTGATATATGTTAGTTTTAATAGGAGTAGTTGAGTTTTAAGTCTTGAAAGGAGTTAAAAGTGTGGGGTTTAGCTGGGTTTTGGAAAATTTTCAAAATGAAGTAGGTAATTTCTAGGCAAGGTATCGGTACTGGATGAACAATACCAATACTTCATGGAAAAAATAGGTGAAATCTGGGTTTGAATATCGATACTGGAAGAATAGTATCGATACCATAAGGTAAAATTGTATGAATCCTTAAAACAGTATCGATACCGAAGGAGTAGCATCGATACCAAGGGCATCAATACCAAGGGCATCAATACCAAGGGCATCGATACTAATGGACAAGTATCAATACCATTTTTAGAAGTCGAATTCAAGAATGTAGATTGGGTATCGATACTGAAGTATAGTATCGATACCATAATGAGGAAGTATCGATACTGGGCCTAGGGTACCGATACTATTTAGGTTGAAATTGTGAATTAAGTGTTTTGTTTAGCCTAAGTTATTAAGGATTAATTAATAATAATATGAACTTCGATATTCATCTTGATTTAATTATTGCATAGATATTGAACGAAGGAAAGTACTAGATGATTCGAAGTTATAAGATTGATCAAGAGTGATAAGTGTGTTGCTTTGACTAAGTGAGGCCAAGGTGAGTGCATATTACTATATGTATATATATTTTATGGAAATAAGACTTGCGATGTGTCTATTTCCAATGTTTTGATTGAAATAATGTTTTGAAAGTTTATTAAATGTTTTGAATACATGCTTACACAAGTATATAATATGATTTTGATTTCATTACTACATGAATATGCATTGTTTACATTTTATAATATGTGATATTGAACTACGTGATTATATGAATATAAGCATAGTTTTGGTTCTGTTACTACGTGAACATGCACTTTTTATATTTAATATTATGCGATATTGACATATGTGTTTACATGAATATGCGATATAAGCTATGTGTAATATATAAATGGTAAAGCCCAAAAGTATGTGATATGAGAGCTAAAGGTATAATTGACATGCAAGAATTGAGGGTTCTACGCGGTCCTTTGGGACATTTCTACGCGGCCCTTCGAGACATTTCTACGCGGCCCTTCGGGAAAATTCTATGTGGTCCTTCAGGACATTTCTACGTGGCACTTCAGTGCATATTCTACGCGGCACTTCGGTGTAATACTATGTAGCAATTTCGATTATAACCTAGTGCACAACCTTAATACACTCACATACCTTGAGTTCTCAGTGATGTACCATGGGCTATATTAGAAGAAAATGACATGAATGAATAGTGCATAATGATATATGTTTTGTTTTGTGAAATGTATCATGATTTCTTTATTCTATGATATTTTATAAAAGTTAAGTATAAGATTAAATGTTTTAATGTTTTATACGCACTTTATTGCCTCACTAAGTCAAAGACTTAGCATGTGAGTGTTTTCACACGTAGGTTCAAAGAAGACGGAAGAACAGAGCTAGGATAAGTCAAGACAACATATCTCTATAAGAAGATCATATCAGAAAGAATTTACACAGTATGTCATTTTGTTGTACTAAATGTATTGGCATGTAATTTAATGTTTAAATCTAATATGCTCTGATCGGATTTTGTAAACTTACTTTAATGTATTTATGTAATATTAAGTATTTATTTTCGATTTGAGTTGAGTTTTTCTATAAATACTGATATTTAAGGGTTCCACCATTTTGATACAAATAAATGTTTAAAATTTTGACTAGATTTTAAAATTAAATGCTTTGAAAAGTCAATGTGATATCTCGAATTCGTATCCGGGTCGAATACGGGTTGGGGGTATTACATTTAATGGTATTAGAGCTATGGTTTTGTAACACTCCCAACCCGTATCCGACCCGGATACGAATCCGAGGTGTCACATTGTCTAGTCAAACATGTACTTTTATAAAAGAAACCATAGAAAATTTAAAACTTCCATACTATAAAGTTATTATTTTACATAAACATGTTTAAAACCTTATTAGAATCCATTAGAGCGTACATATTTAATGACTTAGTTACATGCCAACATATTAAATTACATAACAAGATATACTTTATAAAATATTTCTGATCCGATCTTTGAGTGGAGATATATTGCTCTACTGATCAGAAGCTTGATCTTCTGACTTATCCACACCTACGTGTAAGACACTTACACACTAAGTCATAAACTTAGTGAGACATTTAAATACACAATGTAAACTAACAAATGCATGTATATATGTATTTATGTATCTCATGTAATACAACATCATACTTGTATTCATTCTTAAACCATCATTGACATATCATACCATACTATCACGCAAAATAATATAACATTACATATAATCAAAGATACACCTATACAGATCCTGTTATTGTTATCAATAACCTCATATCATTATCTATATTATATTCATTCCTACCTCTAATTTATCTATTCTTACATTTAACCTTCTTACTATCATATATTACACATATCACTTCATATCGCAAATACACATATACACTCATTATTATTATCCTCATTTCTATTATCATATGATTCTGAACTTATCATTTATACACGTCAAATAACACATTTATCATTTCACAAAATAACAAACATTATCATAACAAGTTA